GTGGGACTGTTTGCAGAGGGCATCGTGCATTAGGCCTCGAAACTGCATATAAACAGAACTCTTGCAATCGGGAGCTGTGGTGCAGTTGCGGTCCTGCTCCTGCTAACGCGTGCGGTGCTTTTGCAGTGAAGTCAGTAAGACTGGATTAGACCATATGATTTTCTACTTTGCCGGTTCACTAATTTTTTTAAAGGGCCACAGATCGTTTGTAAGGACAGATGTGGGACAGCCAAAATGCTAGAAGCTGTTATGGCACATTAGCCCAAAATGCATTGGGCTAATGCGTTAAATTAATGTGTTCGTAAATTTTTCATTAACTGGACGCTGTCCAGATAAAAGGTAAAAATTGTATTTTAACGTGTATGTGATACTACCACATTACTGAAGCATAGGGAATGACAATTTAAACAGTAATGACTTTTTTTTTTTTAAACATTTGGATTCTTTCTCTGACTTCACTCCAAGAAAGCAGTGAAACTAGTCTGTTTCAGAGGGAACCATTGCACTCCCCTTTTGTCGTATGTTTGGCTGAATACAGTTGCTGAAGATTTAGATGAAAATAATTGCTTCTGTGGAAGAGAGGCTTTTAATTTATACCTGTCTGCAAAACACTGTTTTTTGTTTGGTTTTTTTTTTTCCACCAGTGACTGTTAGAAAATAAGTGTACTCTAATTTTCATCCAAAAACGGTTAGACCACTTCTTAGAAGCTAGACCTGGAACAGATAAGCAGCATGCAATGTTTTCCAGGGTTATATTATCAAGTAGTATATGGCTCAATGTTTGAATTCACTACAGTTTGACATACCTAGTCCTTTGTGATAGGAACTGTTTTGCCTGTGTGTTTGCAGAGGGGAAAGGAAGACGGCGTGCAGCTTTTGGGTATGAATGTCTACTGCTATGCCTGCTTCTCGATATTTGAGATGTAGTGATTGCTTTTACAATGTAGGCCAGTTTTTGCTACCTCAGTCGATCTGTTTTAGAGAATCTTATATGGGCTGTATTAGGGTAATTGACTTTTTGGTTACCAAGGTGCTCAAGCTTTTCCTTCTTTTCCCACTGCTGCGTGATCCTTTTCAGGCAAAAGACCACAGGACTCAATAGAAATATTGCTCAAAGTCTGCAGGATCACTCTTGGTAATTCATCAGACATTTCTAGACTAATTAGCTTTTTACTTTAGGATTAATCTGTTCCGTCAGCTTTGCCTTCTTTCTTTGCCTTCTCCCCTTACCCAGGATTCATTCACACTACCCTTTTCTTCTGAAAAAGATGGTCTTTCCCATGGACATTTCTTTGGATCCTCACAACACCATCAGCCATCAACCTCCAACATACCTGGATGTTGTCTTCCAAACCAAACCAATGTTCCCTCTCTTTTGTTGCTTTCACCTCCTACAATAGTGTTTCGGTTGGTTTTGTTTTATCCAGGAGGACATTTTCTTGAGTGACGTAGATTTCATTATGATTCAACTTCTCAGATTCTGGTCTGTAATCCTTTGCCCGTGAAGTTTTCCATATAACGAAAACATTGCAGGACTGTGGGCCGTGGAGGAGTTTCCAAAGTCCATGGATTCTTTCCACCCTTTCTCCATTAATTCTTTGATGGTTACCTCCATGCTTCACTACTCCGTTTACTGAGATCCAAAACAGCATCCCCTTTCCAACCCTCAGCCCAGTCATGCACTTCTCTCGTGTTTCCCCCGTGCAATCTGCTTCTCGTGTTGTATGTCTCCAGTGCATGAACCGAAGTCCTTTACAGAGGCAACAAGTCAGAGTTTCTTTTCTGGCAAATGAAAGACATAATTGATTGCGTACGGAGCTTCATGAAAGACAGGGCACCATGGTGCTGGCTGGAGATTTTCTTTTCTTCTCATCCCATTTTCCACAAACCACTGTGTTGGAATTTAGTTTTGAGAAGGACCCACAACCCCTTGCAATTTTGAAAGCAGAAAACTTACCCCTCATTCCCCCAGATATCTTAGCCCTCATGCCCAGTTTTCTACCTCATTCCCAGTTTACTAGCAAGCTACTACTCCCATTTGCGTTATAGAAATGTAGTGTTATTACTACTGTATTTCCCTTTCACTGCCTCTCTTCTCGAAGTCGTTCTTAGCCTCCTCAGTGAAGAAAAGCCCCTTCTCATCAGACTTCCTTCCAGGTCCAGTTGTCATTTCCTTTTCTTGTCCTATTTGTTGCAGAGCTCTCATCGGCCGCTGTGTTTCTTCTTTCCCTTTCTCCCTCAAAGCTTCTGCTCTCCGCCAGCTCGGGTTAAGCCTGGTGTTTCGTTTCCCCATTTGCCTTCTTTCAGCAGG